AATAAAAACAAGAAAGGTTGAGATGGCTTCCATACATTAGAATGGCTTGAGATATCTTCTAGCGATATAGACTAGAAAGGTTGATATGTCTTCTAGAGATTGGGATTAGGAGGTTTAAATGTCTTCTAGGGATACCGATTGGAAAAAGTTCGAGATATCTTTCAGAGATATAGATTATATATAGATGAGAAAGATTTTTATATTTTCATATGTCTTACAAACAGTTTTTATCTTCTAGAGATTGAGATCGGTTTGAGATATCTTGTAGAGATATGGATTAGATTTACTTGATAACGTTACCTGTATGTGTTCCGAAGCGTAGTATGTAATAAATGTAGAAGTAGTATATCCATATATCTTTTATATCCATATATGTTTTATGGATTAGAAAGGTTTGAGATAATGTCTAGAGATATATATTAGAAAGGTTGATATGTCTTCTAGAGATATAAATTAGAAAAGTTGAATTATCTTTTAGAGATAAAGATTAGAAAGGTTTAATTGTCTTCTGGAGATATAGATTAGAAAGGTTGATATGTCTTCTAGAGATATAAATTAGAAATGTTTTAGATATATTGTAGAGATATAGATTAGAAAGGTTGATATGTCTTCTGGAGATTGAGATTGGAAATATTACGATGCCGATGCCGTCTAGGTCTTCTAGAAAGGTTGTAGATATCTTTTAGAGATTGAGATTAAAAAGTTTAGATTTGACATCTTCTTGAAATATACATTAGAAAGGTTGATATTTCTCCTTGAGATATAGATTAGAGAAATTGTGGTATCTTCCATAGATTAGAAATGTTTGAGATATCTGGTAGAGATTGAGATTAGAAAATATAAATGTCTTCTTGAGATATAAATGAGAAAGGTTTGCGATAACGTCTAGATATAAGAAAGGTTCAATTCATATTAGAAAAGTTCAGATGTCTTTTAGAGACATATACACGTAATAGAAAGGCTAATATGTCTCTCAGAGGTTGAGACTAGAAAGGTTTGAGATATCTTTCAGAGATTGAGACTAGAAAGGTTTGAGATATCTTTCAGAGATTGAGACTAGAAAGGTTGATATGTCCTCTAGAGATATAGATAAGAAAGTTTGATATGCCCTCTGCAGATTGAGATTAGAAAGGTTTGAGATATCTTTTAGAGATTGAGATTAGACCGTTTAGATTTAATATCGTCTGGAAATATAGATTAGAAAGGTTGATATGTCCTCTGGAGATTGAGACTAGAAATTTTTTAAATATCTTTAAGAGCCTGAGATTAGAAAGTTTAGATTTGATATCTTCTTGAGAGATATGTTAGAAAGGTTGATATGTCTTCTACAGATGAAGTCTAGAAAGGTTTGAGATATCTTATAGAGATTGATTAGAAAGGTTTGAGATGTCTTCTAGAGATTGATTAGAAAGGTTGAGATATCTTATAGAGATATATATTACAGGTTTTGAGATAACGTCTAGATATATAAATTAGGTTGAGATGTCTTCTAAAGATTGAGATATTTTATAGAGATTGAGATTAGAAAATTTAGACTGATTACAAATTAAGCAAAGGTAGATTAAGATCTAAGTTTGCTTTTATTCGTTTCCGTTTTGATGTGCATGAAAACATTTAGGATACATCAGATTATGCGAATAATTTTTTGAAATCTTAAACAATATTTGATTATATGTTTGAGTCTGTAATCATTTACACGGGAAGTAGAATTCTTCAAAGGGAAATTAATTACTCCAAAGTAATTACTACCAATTACAAATCATGACGAATCTTAATCAATTCCGGATTTATAAGAAAACGTTCTTGACACGAGCGCGCATTGAAGGATACCGTACGTTACCGATACGATAGGAACATAAGGAGTTAATTGATTTTATGATTTAATAAGCTTATCTAACAAAAACATTATGGTTATATTATTCTTTAACACTATTACAATACAGTTCAATTATTATAGTTAATACTAGAGTTTTTATATTGGAAATCTGAATCAAAGAGTGTGTTAGTATAAATATTGCTTTATCATTACATACATACAGATATTTTCAGGAATTCGCGGTTGCTGTAAGGCATTTGTTCCCCAGATTATTTTGAAAGTTGTGTTAAAGTATAGATAGGTATCATATTTTAATGACTAAATATTTAATTCGTTAGATTTTGAAACTTTAATGATGAGGCTTGGTCTTTAATGTGTAACATATTGGAACCGAATGCTAGTGCCTTCTAAACGTCAGCACAATTAAACTGTGACATTCATTGTTACAACACATGATGAAAATCTTAGTTTAAAGTGCATTAACTGAGGGAGATCTCCTATTTTTAATGATAAAAAATTGATTGTCATTGTGTATGAACTTCATCATATTTTAAGTAATTTAATAAATAAGGGAACAAGTCCATATGTCACATCTATGGCGGGCGAAGCATCACGAGATGTGAGACGTTGGTTTCATGTCAACTCCTCAAGAAGATTGTAGTAAAATATTGTAGATGTATGTCAAATAACCACATGATATCATCTATACAGAGAATAATCCCGGCACTTGCATTGTAATAGGCCACTCATGCCTGTTTTTCTAACTCTTACAGAGTGATCGGTGCGAGCTATGATTGGCCCGTAGGACGCTTATTTATCCGCAATTAATTTGCTCGGCTCCTCCCACCTTGTTAAGTTGGACAAGTATTGTTAGCTTGTCTTGCCAATTCACGGTAGGGGGGCATCACCCTAAGGTAAAAATATTGTCAGACGCGCCTCAATCCATCCTTATTTTAAATTAAAGTAAATTAGATAAAATAGACGATGAGTTGTGAGTAAAGAAGTGATCTGGTTTAGTCAATGATTAAAAGTGTGAAATATTAAGTGTGAACTTTATTAGACTAGCTGATTAAAAACTTATAATTATTCAATATTTATTTCAAAATAGTTTAATAAGGAACAGAATTATGAGTGCCACCACCATGAACGCTTCTACCACCAAGTTCCACAGCATCGATGCTATATTAGGTTTAAAGGCTCGAGAAGGCTTAAGGGTTGGTATGACTGGTGAAGGTGGTGAGGGGCTGTCATCACGACCCCCTCATCACAGAAGATTAACCTCATCTCCTGACTCAGGTAGGTAAACATTATATTTATAATGCAATTCTGTATGAAGTTAATATAGCAGTCAATATCTGTTGTATAAAAAATTAATTATCATCCCAGTCTAATGGTACAGATTTCAGAAATAAGGACTTGCCAAAAATTGCAATAGACACTTAAAGACATTTTGATATTTAGTTTTTGGTTTCTGTATCGGAACGAAATACAAATATAAGGTATTTAAAAGTATAGAAACTGTATAAACAACCTCAAACATCAATAAAATATGGATTTGACAACTGTAAACTCTACATAATTATTTGTGTGTAAATAAAAATTCATAATCATTATAGATCAAATTGCAATTTATTCACTATTATATAGGTGTATATTATAGGTGTATAATATCGTATTAGATTTTACATTATTCAGTTGATTGGCAAACAGCAGGAACTCAATTTAATGAGAGTTACTACCTTTTTTAAATCTGGAAAAAAAAATTAAAACAAGTCAATGCTACAATAATTTATAAAATACTAAATAGACTTTATAAAGATTAAAATAGAAGTATCAGCAATCTTCTACAGGTAACTAACCTAATGAATTTGACTTATTTCATATCATCATTTTATTTGGTCAGCTGTAACAATAATTTACACAGTGAAATCAAATCGTTGAAGGAATTGATCCGGATTGATTTTCGGACAGTCACATGTATTACAGTTTTAATCTCGAATTAAGACATTTTGACCTCATGTTATGTTCTAAATCCACGATTAATTTACTAATCTACGTTAAGCAAGTTATTTTATGTTCTGAAAATTAAAGGAATTTGTATTCCCTAATTCAATTTTCATTTTCAGCTGTATCTTCATATACAGTGTGGTGTAATAAAAGTATGATGCAAAAGTGATCTTTCATTCTTAAAGTTAGATGAATAAACAATGTATGGGTGATAAGCTTAACTAGGCTATCAAAGTGACGCAAAACGTGCCTTTATGGTCTAAATCCCGTTGTCTTTGTTAATGAGATATTGTTATTTTGGTGCTGAAGGTTGTCACTAGCCCTCTAATAAGGAAGAATATACAATGTGATGAATTAGTGATCGGCATACTTTCAGACCTAACATACGATGCTTACTCTAGTAAATATCAAACGAAATAAAAACGTATAGAAACCAAATGAAATTAGTTTAAGATCCAACGAAAATTGCTCAAATTGCATCATTAAAAGGCAATCGTAGCATGCAAATAAACAAATTGTGTAGTATTTTCACGTTGAAATTTGTTATGGGGAATAACAGAATTATCACTGGAAATCATTATTAAACAAACGAAAATGTATTTGTCAAACTTGTGAGAAATGTCACAAACTACGGGATGTATGGCCTATTATAGACTATTAAAGATGGGTTCCCTTATTTTCATTTATGAAAATGCTAATACATATATGAATAGAAAGTAAATGTGTTCTAATGAAATATGTCCATAATTAATTGATAATTAGCTAAATTAGAAGAGAATTACCAGCAAAATTGCAATGAGTGGCCGATCAAGAAAGGTCAAAAAGTTTTTTTTCGTTTATACAGACTGCAAATACATTAAAATGTATGATTGGTTAAAATTATATTCAATAATAATAAAATGATAGGATTAAGAATACATGGTAATTCATTAGAAACACCAATTAATCTAATAGTTTCCTTAATTTGAAACTAAAAAAATAAGGAAAACCATCTTTAAAGAATATCAGATGATAGATTGTAAAAGTCAGTATATTGCATGTAATACTCTGATAAAGGTTGAAATTGTTTAGAAGCATAAAAACAAATAAGCTTCATATATATTCGTTTTTGCTACTGACCGGTAGGCACGGTTTAAAGATAAAGTGAAGCTATAAAACTTTATTTTACTACGTAAAAATGCCTTTTATGGAAATAAAGTAAGTTGTAATTGATGTGAGAAAAACAAAAATGGACACAATACTACATGTATATATCTATAACTACTAGAATATTATTTTTAAATAACATTTAGGAATTGTAAGTTGATATATGGACACTTAAAATTAAATTTCACGTTTCGACGGTTTAAATAGTGATTGTTGTTCCATAAATCTAGGCTCATATATCGAACTTTGTCATTTGTCATTTCACAGACTATTAATTTGAACAAAAAAAATCTACTATACAAACTGCCAATGCCAATGCCTCGGAAATTAATAAATACACAGATTCTTCAAGTAAAAGTTCAAAACATTCATGATATTATTGAATCAACGTCGAAAAAAGAACAAAATAGGCCTTTTAAAATTATTGACCATGTTTTTTGAAAATCTTAGTGGTTTCGTAATTGAAGGTAATTGCTCCTTCATTGTGTCTTTAATTAAGAATTAGCAAACTGGTCATTTCCAGACACAATACATCCTTTCAGTAATTAGAACTGTGAAGACTTGGAACTGGCATGTCAGAGACATGACAATAGATTGTCTCGTGTTAAGTGAGTATTGTTCCTGCAAGTCTTCAAGCGATCCTTGCAGCATTTCCTGATTTCTTGATTCATTTTACTATTGTCATATGAGTTAAAACGTTCTATTACGTTTTCGAGACTATTACTATAATAGATCTGGTCGATTTTAAATCAACATTTATATTCAAAATTTGTTTTGTATTCTAAAGAAAAATAAGAACGGTTTTCAAACATATGACCTAATAATTTTTTGTTATCTATTTATCCAGTGTTGCAAAAAACATCTAAAACTGCCAACATACAGGCTCGAAGCCAACCAAGTACTTCTGGGGTTGGGGGAGGAGGGGGGCAATCTCTAACCAAAAAGGGAGGGGGGCAGTTTAGGTACCCTCCTCCCCTCCCGGAAAACTTTGTGAATTGTTGCGAATTACAGTGGTGCTCTCTATATAGTTATTGCTATCTTTATTGGTGCCGAAGACGCCCATTGGAAGCCTGGAAACACGATTTTTTGAAGTCTGGGGACTTCCTCTAGAAAATTTTAGAGAATTTAGCTCTCCAAAAGCTACTATTAATATGATGCAATTTCCCTCTAGTGACGTCATAAAACGCATTAGTTTTAGTGGATTTGCAAGAGCAACAGACGCTGGAATGAAAATTGGAATTGTGCAAATTGATGCTATCAGTGTCCACGATACACATAAAAAGTTTAGAAAACCTCTTTACATGCCCTTTAAGGTTCAAGATTATTTGTATTGAGTCTGAGATGAGTCGCTTAGAAAATTTTGAGAATTAAACTCCCGGAAACGCAATTTCCTGACATTTACCGACGAATTTAAGGCTCAGGATTATTCATTTATAAGACTCCCCTTAAAAGAATTTTTTTTAGGGGGGACAAGATTACTTGGTGATGAGTCTGCTGACATAATCATAAGAAATGTGATCAGAAAAAAGTATCCAATTGAGGGTTGAAAGCGAAAATCGAAAAGGTTTTTATATTTTGCTGCAGATATACCATTCTGCCCTGGTTGCTTGTCTTTAATAAAGGCAGACATATTTTACTAATTTTCGGCATTCATAATTTTATCGGCTATAGTATTCATATTGCTTTATTTTAAAAGTTTGTTTTACATTAAAATTTCTGAACTGTCATCCCTTAAAAATAACATTTCAGAATAATTAATTTGTAATCGGCGAATTTCTTTAGGACACACATTTTGTTAATGCAGAAATATTTTCCTCGCAAATTATTCATACATGTGTTTTGTACCATAGATCATCATTGTAAATATAATTGTAATGAGCAATTTGGAAGACTAATTCATAGTCTAATCTTACTAAAAGTTATAAGATCGAGAAGAAAGTCTTTGTTGAGGAGCTCGTAATCTCGAACTGCTATCTTATCTTGAAAAATATTTTACTGCCAGTCACCGAAAAAAGGCTTCCACCGATCTTGGTTCTGATACCTTTGTTTAAGGGGAAATAATCGCCTAAGGTGCTGACATGTTAACGGAAGGGAGCTCAAGAGACACGTGCTGGCTTGCGTTGATTTCGGTCTTTGTTTAGAAATAAAAGGAGATCACCAATCAATAATCTGTGCTTGTCTTGAAGAAGTTTAGATGATATTAATTATTACTCCTCATCAATTGTGTTTTGAACAATTATTGCAAGTGACCACAGGCCTTGTGTTAAGTGTTAAAATTAGCCTTCTAGACTCAAATTCGTGACATATAGACTTGTTTTGAAACAACTATTTTACAGATTAATTCATTAATCTACGACAATTCCAAATCCTTCTGTACACAATATTCTAGTGTTACAGCTAAAACCAAAATTGTTTTTTAAAAAAAATGCGTCAATTTGGGGCTGTCGCTAGGTTAGATGGAATTCTTAGAATGTTATGACGTCCTTTGCTTGGTTTTGTTTGGAAATGTTGCTATATTTTTGACAGCTTGTGAAGGCCATCTTTCCTCGTTATTCCATCAAATCGATCCAGATGTAGATTGATAACGGTAAAAGATTAATGCCAAGAGCTTTGGACAAGGTCAACAACTGACATTCGTATTAATTGTGGACATCTCTTTTTTCTGCTAACCAATATAACCAATATCAGGAATGGCTCTGCTTTTATCAACTTCTTTGTAGAAAGTTTTAATCATGGATTTTATGTATTCTCTGTATAACTGAATTTGAAATTCTCAAGGAAAGTTTGGCAGGTGCAGGCGGCAAAAACGTCAACTATCAATGTTTCTTCTGAGGTCGACATAAACAGAGATGTCATTGCAACAATAAGATAATTACCCCTATTTTACTTGCTGGATATGAATTTATCAGTGTTTAAAAAGAATAATGTGTTTGCGACTCGAGTACTGAAGAGCGCCTCAGGGGAGATGATTCTGGATGATCAGGGATGAGGCTACAATGACAACCAAGTATGAAATGCCTCATGTCGATCACCAAGGGACTAATTTAACCTTCAGAGCAACTCATTATAGCTGTATACACTCTATAACTTGTCAGTCCGGGGATTTGATAAATTCGTGCAATCTTTAATAATTTCATAGACTTAATATTGTATCTAGGCGTTTAGGCTTTAAAAGGACTGGCGTAGTGATAGATAGATTCTTTATAATATTATTCTTTAAAAGCCTTTGTTATCTTCTTGATTAAATTAGATGAAAGTGGATAATAGGGTAAACGTAAATTTCATGCTCAGATAATTTCAAAAAGCTGTTCTCGTTATGAAAGAAGTAAAAAATACAATGATGATAATTTGGCCGGCAGGCCTGTCATGAGGAACGGGGTAGGGGGTCGGTTGGGGCGGTGCTTCATCATGAGTGGGATCAAGTTACGGTGAATAGGTGCCTGAGTAAAGACCAAGAACGATTATCAAATAGACAGGCCTTTGTATCGGTGCCTGATGAATGCGTTTAGTGAATAAATGTTAATTGTAACGCGTTGAAGTATACTAAACTTAATTCAACTATTTAAAAAACTTAATATCTGAAACTATTTACACGAATCTAAATATTTAAAGAAGTAATTATGTGAAAGAATAGATGAATACGATTGTGGTACAGAAGTAGTATATGTCGCCTGTTAAAGAAATAAATAATTCGCCATTTGAAACATGTTACATTGTTCCTTTAAATTGACGTCGCGCCTCGACTAAATTCATAACAACTGCCAAAATATGAATATGATATTTTTATTCAGAAGACTATTTGAATATCGTCAGATAAATCATCACGGGACTTGATTAATTTTAGGTTCAAATTGAATCAATTTGTTGAAACCTTTCTTCTGATAAAGAAAATTACCTTTCACCAGTTTAAAGCGTATTGTTAACTGACTCAATAATGCAAGGAAAAAACGCTCCGAAGTCTTAATTAGAAATTAATTTCACGCAGAAGGAATCTAGACTATAGAAAACTTTGGTTAAATTCTTTTTTCTGTATTAACAAGATATAATTGGTATTTATGAAAATAATTTGAAATTGAAGAAGAGATTTAATTTTTGTTTACCTCATATTTTACAGATGATCTTTTTTCTCAAGTATGAACATTCCAATTTTAAATTAATTTTTTTGTTAGGAAAGATAACGCTTATGTCTACAATGGAACCATTTCCTATTGAAATGGATAAACCAAAATAATTTTGAAATAACTGGCATTCTGAAGTCATAATTGATAAATGATTGTTCAGTCAGCCATTACTCGCACCTTACAGATTATCCAGTATCACTGCCATGGCATTTGTCTGATAAAAGCAGACCATTTGCTATTAAAGCAACATCTGCAAACTAATGAACGTCTAAAATCAAACTTCAGATCTCATGTTTTTCAAAATTAATGTTATTTCTCAAACATTGTCGACATTAACTAGATAAAGGAAAAACATTTTTAAAAAATCGGAAAACAGTAATCGTCTGAAGGTGCACAAAGTATATATAATCTATGATATAATTATGACCAATTAAATTTATTGAAATGGATATATGAAATAAGTTGTGTGATTATCGGCACTATAGGTGTTCAGATACCATTGTCAAGGCGTACTAAATACATGTAACTGAATGACAATCTGGTCAGAGTACATCTGTACGCTTGTCTAGAATAATTAACCGGTTACAATTGGAATAGAAAACTCCGCATCTTAAATAACATCGGATACCAGATATCATCTTTTCGCTGCTAGATACGAGATCCTGACAAAAAAGCTGCCATAAATGGATAAATACAATGCAAAAACGTTTATATTTGGTAATTAATATGTGTATTATGTTCTTGTTTTATTTTTGTAAACATTGCTACTCTTCAAAGAGAGGCTATATTTTGGAAATCAATTTCCTGGTTTTCATATAAATGTATACTTATATTCCTATTTCAGATCTAAATCTATCCAGAGACGAAGATGAAGGGCATGATAATTATGATCTGCAAGATGACGATGGTGACTTGGATGGTTCAGATGGTGGTGATAAAAAGAAACATCGTAGAAATAGAACAACATTTACTACTTATCAGTTACACGAGTTAGAAAGAGCATTCGAAAAATCCCATTATCCCGATGTTTACAGTCGAGAAGAACTCGCCATTAAAATCAACCTTCCAGAAGTGCGAGTACAGGTAGTTCTTCATTCTAATTAAGCTAAATGAGTACAATCTGAAATATTAGCCTACAATTATCAGTTAATGTTTAATGATGGCCGGTTTCATCCCATGCTAACAAGAATGTTTTTAACACGGTATCATTGACGTAAATACAATACATACAAATAACTGCAGAAAAAACTTAATTTGACATTTTACCGACATAAGTTGAACATGATTTGAACTGAAAACTCTTTTTTTTCCATGAACTGACTGAGTGACCTCTCAAAAACATTCCAATGCTGTTTTTAGAAACTTGCTGTAAACAAACACTTTTTCACATCTCTTAAAATAATTTCAAAGAAGATCCAGAATCTTATTAAGCTTTTCGGAAAATTCAAGGAGTCATTTGATCCTATTTATTTCAAAGAATGTTTAATGAAAAACTAATTGAGAAGACGGGACAATTCGTTGGGAACATGTGGGCTTGTAGTAACTTAGAGGGTGGCTTTCTCTAATGAATGAAAAAAATAACAATGCAGCAGAGAGCAAATTGAGGTCTATTGTAACTGCTGGTTAAAAGCCTATAAAGTAGAAATTAACATGTCGACGAAACCTGTTATTTTCACCCTAAATAACTTAAGCAGATAAATTAGTTAGACATTGATGTTTAGTTCTTCTGATAGATCCCTAATTGAATAAAATAAGCCTCAATGATCAATTATCAAATTTGTAGAGAGCCAACCCTCCTCTAGATGTCTTCATAGTATCGTAATATTCCTTTAATATTATTAGACATGGTGTAATTGCCTTTTATCCCCTTTCATTCACCCATTAAATACCCTCAACTCACTCGGTCTTCAACGAGACCAATTAGAAAAGCTATGCTGACGACTTCTTTTGGTGTGACGATTCAAACGACAGCTCGACGGGAGCTCGGTAACTCGGGCTAGTAGCTCTTCAAATACAACATCTTCACGAACTCATGACACAAGAAAACCAACAATTTAAAAATGTGGACCTTTGTGTCATAAAAATGGGGTTGGACAATTTGTGACACCCATTCGGTCTGAATTTATAAAATGACAACGTTATTATTAGAAATGTAACTGTACACTATATGATAACCGTTATGATCTTCTTTGATTTAGTTCATTAGCATCACAATTATTGTAAACATAACTTTAACCCTGTACCAGTGCCTTATATTGAATATTGTTACTCTTCAATCACCCTTATCACTAATAATAGTTTTATTTATGCAGTACTATCTAAATCGTTGGTTGCAGACGCCATTTTTACTATTGTCATTTTGTTAGATAGCAAGTTCCATAAAAATCAGTTATTCATGTCTTGAATAAGGTTTGTTTCGACTACACATTTCGCGTATACTGCTCTTCAGAACTATGGTTTAACGAAGATGCTAATATTTTGGAAATAAGATATTAATTGGCCTCATGGTGTATTTTGGAGATTGAAGCTATTAAATGTTTAAGGTAGAATAAACGCTGTCTAAATTAACAATGTATTTAATGAAGGAAATAATTTGATGATAAACCATGTAGAAAATCAACATGATCATGTTTTTGTAAGTAGTTGCTGGAAATATTAGACCTCTTGAATAAATAGGGGGTGGTACATAATTATCTAAATAAAGTTTCATATACTCAGAATTTATTTTTCTTATAAAACTTAATTCATATACGTACTAAATACTTAAAACTAAAAACAGCACACACTTTAAAACGTGGATTTAAAAGATGATAAACGGCCTTTTAATTGAACCAAAAGCGTTAAATTCATACTCAAACCACAAAGACACAAACGTAAAGTTGTCAAATCTAGATCTCCGGTAATTAATTTGGAAGATTTGCCCTTACACCAAGGGGAATTTAAGGATATAGATGATAAAGTCTAGAATAGATATGAACGTAATTCTTATAACGCATTTTGACTTTATCTGTCTGACGCCGACTTTGTATAAATAATGTACGTCGCTTAATCAGACTTTTTATGATTTTAATTTGTTATTTTTCGTGTGTTTTAGGTATGGTTTCAGAATAGAAGAGCAAAATGGCGTCGCCAGGAGAAATTAGAAGGTGGTAAATGTTCTGATAATTATTCACTACCATCAGTTGGTAAATCATTGAGTACCAGTATAGGAGGCACGGGACTACCAATAGATCCATGGTTAACACCACCAATAGTGAACGCCGTCAATCTTTCTGCATCTTTATCCGCGCCAGGCACTGCATCCATGGCGGCAGCCTTTCAAGGACTTCCACAAGGTTTCCCATCTCAAAGTGTTACATCATACTCCAGCTTCTTCCCGCCAGGATTTCCCATTACATCTCAAGCTAATGCTTTTGCTGGAGTGTTTAATCCGTTAACTGCCCAATCTTGTCAAAACGACCAACTTGCTGCCAATATGATGAGTGTATTCAATCCTTTAATGGGGAGAGATCGCGATGACGACCCAAGGAATTCTAGTATAGCTGCTTTAAGATTAAAAGCTCGTGAACATCAAGAAGTGATTGAAAAGAAATATCCCGGTGCATTATGATTTGAAATGCGAGACCACAATCGATAATTATATGTATTAACATTTTAATATATAAGCCTGTGGGTATATATATTTTGAAGGGTGATTGCTTTACTTCGTATACACTTTATACATTATCTAATTAGCTTTAATTTGCCGACAGCTCACAATCGTAAGTGCATCGCAGTGTATTGACGACAAAAATTAGAAGCGTGGTTGTCAGAATTACTCATGGGTATCTTATTTAATGATCGCCATGACTATGTGTATAGTACAAAGTGTTTGTCGCATTCCAGTCTGTTTGGAAAAAAACACAAGCACACCTTTGGTGGAAAACTTTACATACGCATGTCCAGAAGACTTTTCTACCACGGTGTCTCAAAAAGGGTTCAGTTGCCATGAACATTTTAAGGCTGCATCATCAAATGTCGTCGGCACAAGAAAGTATGGGTTACTATTGTGATTCATGCGATTCATGAAACACGTTATCAGAATCAAACTTATCATTAGTTAGATGTCGAAGAGATTGTCTCCCTTTAGTGCTTCCATGAATATCGTGATTTCGATAACAGGGACATAACATATCTCTAAATATGATGAAGGCGAAGACTTGGAAATGAATCTATCTGTAGTAGCAAGTAACTAGTGACAACAATAAACGCCTTATTCATATTGAATAAGATACCGACTATTTTGAAATTAAACGTTGAATGTTAATAGCTACAACGTAGAAAAGAATGTTGTGTAGATTTTGCTATAGATGTTTTGTAAAGCCCTTGAAGTTGTTAAACCGGTACCTTTTTATCTTTTTACACTTTGTACAGTTAATGAAATATAATGTATTGTTTGAATTTCGTTCCATTTCTGCAATATAGGGATGTTAGCAAAGGAGTTGCAAATTTTAGTTTCTGACAAAAATTCGTGTGGGAGATTAACACTATTCTAGCTCTTGTTACCACCATTCTTCTTCGGCTTGCTTTTGTGTCATGTACATATTATCACATATTCTATTGAGATAAGATAATGTACATATTATATATGGCAATGCTAAATAGGTTGATTATTACATCCGCCATCACAGGTAACCAGCGATACTGTACGACTATAATATTTCAACAAACAAAAGTGTTGTGCAAGATAGTAAAGCACAAAACATCTTAAAATAGCAATAAATATATCATGTGAAAATTTGTCATTACGGAAACTCTGAAAGGTAAATAAAGAAAACGCACTATTCGATAGCAATAATTTTGTTACAAAATATGGCAGGAAAAGGAAGCCTGAAGGTGCGAATAATGGAGCTTTTCCTGAATTTTAGTGCAGGTGCTACCTTTCTGAATTTAAAATACACAACGTTCGGAAACAATCAACACCATGTCCGGACATTTCCTTCTGTATCGAAAATTCCGCATCGTGCGCTTCACCGATCCAGCATCTGAAGTGAATATTATTTACGCCGAACTGTAAATATGGTTCTTTGGCTTCGGTGCGAAACTGTCATTGTTAATTTTCCTCTCATCTGCAGTAACATACCCCAATCACCAGCCTTTGGCGCGTCATCCGCTATGCCAGGACTTGTTCAATTTATGAAGACATTCTGGCCAGGGGTCGAGTTTTGACTTTGAAAATGCTTAAGCAGGGTTACTTGACACATAGACTTAATTTAGGAAATTTTATGGTCGTTATAGCTAACTTCTGGACAAATATTACAAAGACGTTTCTTGCATCTTGGCTGATTTGATGTTCAGGCATATTGATCTGTTTGTATCTGATGTTGACATAGATAGTAATGGCGGGTGTCGCTCGCGAAGCAGACAAGGCTTACTCTTTTCGAAACACCTGATGGTACTTCTCTTTGGAGGGGTCAACTACTTTAATATTTTTACTCTTGATTTTGTCATGCTTTGGACGATATAAGTCATCATCGACGATATACGGTATTCGATGCGGCAAACGATGCTGGATTTTCGATACAGAAAAAAATAGAGCATGCGAATACACGGATCTGGGTCTTGACACAACACTACATCGATAATTCCGTATCGCAAATCGCATCGGACATAGTAACTCGTCTATTCGCACCGTTTTATAGATGTACTCCACTAAATCACTTTCCATGTAAAATCACGAAATTCGAATCTCTGTTTTTTTTTTCAGAACCGCTTGAAAATTTCCAAATACGTCGCATTAAAGCCTCACAAATACGCAATGTTTTGTCAAAATTCAATATATGATGACCATGACACTATTTGCAAGTAGACAACTGCTGGATATAAACATCTGAACTCTGAATTAGTGGGCATGCATTTGGCAAGTATCTTGACAAAGAAAAAGAGGCTGTCTGGACGTTTCGATCTACTCCGGCTAAAACTTCAAAGCACAAGGTTCTCGCTGAGGGCCAGTGGCATCTCCATTGTGCTTTATATGTTCGAAACAAATACTATTATATATCACGTTTTCAGTTTTATTTTTAGTTATTTCATGTTTTACAATGTTAGGGGTGGATGGATGTTATTCATCACATCTTGTCAACTTTTCTACAAGTTCGGGAATAAATCCATAATTTGTTTACAGTTCTGTTTTTATTGGTTTCGAGGAGTATTTTTCCGAGAAGTAACTTTTCCGCACACCGTACACCTTACCTCGTTTATTCGTGACTTTATTCTACTGCGTTTAAATCTCATTATATCTGAAATCTGAGAGATAGTACAATTTTAGACATCAAAACATTCAGACAAAAAATATGAAATCAAATAAAGGGGAAGAGAGGGAGATTTCTAAAAAATTCCACAGACTATATTCGTATACAATTACACAAAAGTTTTAGTGGTCTTAGTTCTTTTAGAAAATCTCAAACATTGGGGATATCAAATCGAGTCACCTCCCTTGTTTTTAAGAGATCAATTTTTCACCGACATATTCATACACTTTAAAAGATATTTACAAAAACTGGGAAATTCTTGCAAAGAATATTCACTTTCCATTGCCAGTGGCTAGTAAAATGCTCAATATAATAAACAAATTCAAAATATACACCGAAAAGGGATATTAATTTTGATGTCTGCCTGCTATTTCGTTTTTGATGCAGTTCTTAAGATATCTTAATATATGGCCTCATTCATCCTGCCCCACTATGTCGGCGTACAGAGACAAAAAAGGACGTCTGGATGTCATTGACAACTTAGAGTATTTTCAAAAAACTTTTAAGAGAACGTTAAGAACAGATCAGGTTTAAATCGCGTACAATTCAGGGGAGGTTATCCATAGTAGAACAACATAAATACCATGACTCTGAAAAACCTGTATAGCAATTCGTGTTCGATGATGATAATTGCACACAATTTGTTGACATTAAGATTGTCAAAATTATTTCAAACACAATGTGTCCGCAATTATCAATAACTAATAAATTATTTATTACAGGGTATCATTTAAAAAGATCAAAATTGTGGCATGACAATTACCAATGAAAAATGAGAAGATTTTTATTGTATCACATCTAAAGTTAAAAAGAAATGAAAGTTTAGTTTCTATTATTGCTTCCTGAAACCCAATGATTTTCCTATCGCTTCTCATTTACAACATATTCTGAACGAAGCAGAGAGCAAATTTGATATAGAAATTACCAAATCACATCGCTATTTCTTCACCCTAATCTATATTTACTTTTATTCATTTGATTTACCCGACTTCAATTATTCTGGCGACAAAAATTTGATACGATAGAATTATTAAGCCTTGTCGAGCTACTTCATGTCAATTCCCGTTCTCGTTCCTTTTCTCGAGATTGGTTCTTTACATCAAAGCGCAGTAATGACTACCGGTCTATGATCAATCTGTCTCTATCCGAGGAATTACCACAACTAGTTGACAATAGGCGAGAAAATTGTTCATCTTATGAAGAAATTAAAGCCAAAGAAGCTAGAGTGATTTAATGCCTCATTCTACGGATATTGTTATTTGTTCTCCTTCAGGCAAATATTTGGCAGTCAGTTTATTAATAAAGTTAGAGGCCAATTTCAGTTCAATAACTTGATTTCTGAGACAGTAAACGAGCGCTTAGAGACTGATTAGCGCTATTTAAACGTAAATATTGACAATTTCTCACCACATTAGTCAGTAATTTAATATATAGAAAGTTATTGTGTCTTTAAGTTGAATGTGTTCGTGGTAAAAACACAAGAGGTACTTGAGAGGGCGGTCTTGTGGAAAATTGAACTATTGGCGCTGTTAGGCTAATTTAAACGTCATGATATTAAATTTACTTCATTGCCGCTACAGTTGTAATTATTGGTAAGCTATTTAGATTACAAACTTAATAAAGAACCCAGTGCCAAAGGCAACAAATCGGCTATAATCTTATGAGGCAAATTCTGCCACTTCTTATTTCATAGTTAAATGCTTAATCAAAGATCAGCTTGGCATCAAAAACTATTAAATCTAGTTTAGTTTTGCTGTTGGCAAAAATCTTTCTATAAAGAAATATTGGAGACTCATAATGTCGCGTTTAATGGTTGTAAATCACTGAGGATTTTGCGACACCACTTCGACAAATGTTTGGTTACATCATATATTAACTTACATCTTGTTTAATTGTGAATGCTTTTAAGAGTTGAGACACATAGTTCATCCGCTTAACGAAATGATCGTGCAAATACGGTAAGAAACTACTAAACAAGGATAGAAATAATACATTTATATTTATAATTATCAAAAATAATCATGAGTAACAGAAGTCCAAATTTTACACCACAGGAAATTCAAATTTTAATGGTCGAAGAAGGATCCGTACTATTAAACAGACTGAGTCATACAGTTACTAACAGTTCTAAAAAGGTTACATGTTCGGAGGTCAATGATGCAATTAATGATACCGATCATCTTCGGACTATAGAAGAAATACGGAAAAACTGGACCTGCTACGTTACCTGTAAGAAAATAGCAGAGAATGAAAGAGACTCACGACAAACTGGCGTGGCGGTGGACCCCTCCAAATTCAGTCTCACCAATAGAGGACAAAT